CTGCGTTATCTAAGCCCGCATGAACGTTTCCCTGCTCCGTTGTGACATTTGCCTGCTCCGTGACGGGACAGCAGAGCACGCAAACCGGCGCCGCGGGCAGCGATGCCGGCAGGACGGCGTCCGCGCCGCGCCGTTCCCAGCGGACGGCTCCGGGAAGCAGCAGAGCTGTCAGGGCTACAGCAGAATGGAGGGACATCGAGGTCCATGCCAAGGCACTCGTTGTTTAAAGGCAGCTGGGACAACACCAAAGACCTCCAGAAACACCGAGATCCAGACAGGCCACCGGCTATGGTATCCAAGCACACGGGTGAACACTGGAGGCAGCTCTCTCTGTAGAGCTTCATCACCAAACTTTCCTGGTGCTTCAAAAGGTGAAATTAAAGCAACGCCACAGGAATCTGGCAATCACTTGATAGTCCCATGGGTTTGAACACCCGCGTCATATGCAGACTTCTGTGGTGTCTCCTCTTTATTAGACAAGCAACTTCCTCAGGGCCAGCCTGAGGACTTCACTAGGACAGGTTTCAGAAGACCAAGCTTCACTGCCCTCTGTCCGTTAAACTCAAGAACCTGCAGACTTCTGTGGTGTCTCCTCTTTATTAGACAAGCAACTTCCTCAGGGCCAGCCTGAGGACTTCACTAGGACAGGTTTCAGAAGACCAAGCTTCACAGAACACTAAGCTTCACTTCAAAGACACAGCAACTCTGTCTGTCAAACTCAAGAACCTTTAGAAGAACAGCACTTCCAAGTCACTGACTCTTCCAACTGCAAACCCCAGTGACAAAATCCTAAATCCCACAGACGTCATTTCCAATCCATGCAAGATGGCACCTCCCGCTTGTTGGATGTTCTCTCTGTCTCTCTCACATGCAGAGACACCTGAAGCAATAAAGTGTCTCTGTGGTTTTTACAGGTGGGCACTGTTTCCAGGGGACCACGACATGTCACTGTCCTTCACCCCAGCCTGGCTGCGAGACCCCAAGCTGCCCCTGTGCTTCCCTGTGAGCATGCCTGGCCAGCACCCATTCAAATCAAAGCCTGAAGAAACTAATCCTGTTCTATCGGAGCTACAGACCCAGCTGCCAGCAACTGAAATATCACAGCAGAGAACCCTTCAAAAACCTTTTACTGCCTTAAAGTTGCTGAGGAGCAGAAGACTCCACAGAGTTAATATAAACATCTTCCAGGTCCTCTCCCACCTCCTGGTAAGGATTTGCACTCTCTCTTCCCCATAGCCTAGATGGGCATTGATCCTACTTGAACCTGCAGCAGCAAAGACGGACATGGAACATTCATTTCCCCACAGCAGTGGTTTTCACAGGCTAATTGGGACTGCAGTAAAGCCTTCCCCAGTCACACTCCTTGAAGTATTTAAGTCCACCAGAATATTTAGGTATCTTTGCTTCCCACAGATCGCTGACACTCCTCAGTAGCTCTCAGTTCACAGGTACGTGACCGTTTTATTCAAACAAAGTTCATTCCTGTGGTCAATGGTGGGGAAAGGGCAGTGCACGGATCGCCTGGAAGCACAGCAATGACTTTGCTAGACTTCTTGGCTGTCGTCCAGGACTGTTTTCTTCCAGGCCCCGTTTTGGACTTCCTGATTGCCATTTTGGGAAGATAACGTGTGTTAGAGCCATCTCATGATACCCAATGCTTGCGGACAGGTTTTCAGGACAGGAGCTCCCAGGGGAGGCTAAGAAGAATCAGAAGATCAGGTATCAACATCCAAGGGCTCCGAGCCCTGGAATGGTGCGATGGGACCTCTAAGAGCTGAACTGCTCAGAGAAGACGCTTCAGACTGGGCTGCCTGATGTCTTCCCAAGAAAACGTTCTCTGCAGTGCGTTTAGGAGCCTAACTGGCGCAGCCACTCCTTCCACAGAACAGCATTTGAAGGGAGTGCTTTTAATCTTCTCATTTTCCCAAGAGTTTTGTTTTCACAGTTCAGCATCCGTCAGATGTCGGGCTGGGGAAGGGGCTGCCCCAGCAGAGCAGCCTCCTCGACCCCCGGCAGCAGCTCAGTGTGCAGGAGCAGATGTGCTGGGACACCCTGGTGCCTGGTAGGCACCGACGTCCTCCGCAGCGCTGGGGCCGGCTCTCTCCCTGCTCCCTCCTCGCTGCTCAGACTTGGTCACTCTCCTGCGTGTTCCTCACCCACCTGGATGCACTGGTCACACAGGCCCAAGGAGCGCGTGTCAAGCAGCACACGAACGTGCCCTGGAAGAGCACCACGCTCTTGTGCTCAGATAACTCTGCTCTGCCAAGGACTGGCTCCTCTTGAGGCACAGGTTGAATTAAGATGATGCAGGCAAGAAGCAGAGAAAGCAGCCACCATCCCAGCATCATCCACATTCCCTCGAGGTCACCGGTCGCTGCAGAGGGGCAGGGCAGGTCTGTCATTGACATTACTCCTTTCCACCCCTTGCAAGGACACGCACTCGGGTGCAGGACAAAAGAGCGAGGCAGGAGCTAGCGCTGGGGTCCTCATCCCGGACAGGAGCTGGGACACACCTGGGAGAGGCAGGAGGCAGCGCTCGTCCTGCTGGCTTTGTGGCACAACAGCAAAATCCCACTGAGAGCTGAACTGTACCCTGATTAGATTTATAACCACCCTATGGAAAAAATCTAAAGCTACCTTGTTTGTAGCTTTTTGCAACAGGCCTTGGGAGAGCTGGAATGCAATGCAGTGCTTCCCCCATACAGGCAAGGAGCGTTAAAAGAAAGCAGGAAGACCAAGGACAGGCCAATGCAGAGGAGTAACAGAGGGTCCAGCACCTTCCCCAGAGCAGGGACGGGGGCTCTCTGCTCGTGTTGCTGGCCTGGGTTTCTCCGTCGGGAATACAGACTGTTCTGCACAGTCCTCTTGCGCACGCGCAGGA